AATCTTTCTCCACTGCAGTTCTTGGTGTCTAGTGTTTGACTCTCTAATGCTGTTAGACGGACTCTTTCTATTCAATAATACTACTCAAGTAAATTCATGTTATTTATAACTTGATATGAAAGTTTTATAAGTAATCCGAACATAATTAAGGGTGATTAAATTAAATACATATAAGTAGGGTTAAAAGTTCTTAGGTAAACTTTTTAAATAAGTTTCCCAAATATTTTCAGTATTATGAAACCTTAAAGTTTTGCTAAGTTAAATTAGGTGATGGAAATTATATTAAACTAGAGACCTGGTGCACAAGTGGGGTCCCTCAGCCTATCGGGGCCATGGGAGGTTAGCCAGCCAGCCTGACTGGGGCCATCAGGGCCGAATAGCCAGGGGAAAGGACAGTGGGAGGGTTGGTTGGATGCAGGAGGTTAACTGTGGGAGCACACTGACCACCACTCCTGAATTGAGCATCTGCCCCCTGGTGGTCAGTGCGCATCATAACGACTGATTCTTTGGTCATTCAGTTGCTTGTTTGATCATATATATATATAAAAGCTTAGGATATATATATATATATATAAGCTTTTATATATATAGAAGATATCTAGATCATTTCCAAATAATAAAAAATACTGGAAAATTACTGAATGTAAGTTTATGTACTTTTGGCTTCTGATTGCAGAAAAATTAAAGATAAACTTGAGTTTATTGGTAACATGTCATATGCCACAATGAGAAACTTACTCTGAGAAAGCACATTTCCAAAAATAATAAAAAGTGTTTATAAATTTGCCAAGCCATAGACAACTAATATAAAAGGCAATTTATTAATGTTTACTTCTTAGATTTTATAAAAACTTTAAAGTTTTTAAAGTTAAAATTCTAATATATGTAATTGACACAATTAGAAATAATAGGAAGGGTAACTGTATATAGTAAAATGTGGGCTTTTTTCTCAGAAATAGAATAAAAAATGAAAAGGCATTTTTATTAAGGGAAATGAGAGTAATTTTTAAAAAATATATTTTATTCATTTTTTACAGAGAGGAAGGGAGAGAGATAGAGAGCCAGAAATGTCGATGAGAGAGAAACATTGACCAGCTGTCTACTGCACACCTCACACTGGGGATGTGCCCGCAACCAACATACATGCCCCTGACCGGAATTGAACATGGGACCCGTCAGTCCGCAGACCGACTCTCTACTGCTGAGCCAAACTGGTCTCGGCAAATGAGAGTAATTTTATTTAAACTAGAACTTCTGTCTATGAAGGACAAACTAAATATATATAAAAAGTTGAAAAGAGAGAGATAGAGAATTTTGCCTGTGTAATTAAGATGGCTAAGTGAGTGGTAAAAGTTTTAAAAAGTAAACTTTAATATCAATGCTATATTTATGTAAGCCTCAAACTTAATTTTCTTTCATCTGCCAAAAGGTTTCTCTGTTCCAGTAATCTATCGAGAAAGCAAAGACTGTTTTATCCAAATAATTTTCTGTGTTTTATGTTGTCTGAACTAGGTCTTTGATTACTTAAGAAAACTGAATCTTCTCAATAGTTAGAGCCAACCTTCTGTAATTGTCTTTGAAATCTTTTGATGTCACTTTGGTCAAATAATTAAGTATTACTTCATAATAACTTGTGATCCAATTTAGTCAATTGCTTTAGGACCTTTTGATATTTTGACAAACTTCATAAGAATCAAATTCTAAATAGTCTTTTTTGACCCCAAACTAACTTTGATATTTTTCAGAAGGATCAGGGAAAATATCAAAGGATTTGTCTTTCTCCTTATAAAATGAAAGATTTTGAACTAATTGGACTTATTTGATATGTGTAATTACATGGGTAACATTGTCAAATGAGAAATAATAAGTATTGGTGACATTGTGTCTGAATATGTCCTACGAGTTTAGGACATTATGAAAAACTAAAGGCCCTGTGCACAATATTCATGCATGGGTGGGGTTGTCCTTCAGCCCAGGTTGCACACCCTCTAATCTGGGACCCCTGGATGGATGTCCGACTGCCCATTTAGGACCAATCTCAGTCAGACATCCCTTTCACAATCCACAACTGCAGGCTCTCATCCGCTCACCTGCCTGCCTGCTTCTTTGCCCCTAACTGCTTCTGCCTGCCAGCCTGATCACCCCCTAACCTTCTCCCTGCCAGACTGATTAACATCAAACTGCTCCCCTGCCAGCCTGATTACCCCTAATTACCCTTCCCTGCCAGCTTAGTCACCTTTAACTACCCTCCCCTGCCAACCTGGTCACCTCTAACAGCCCTCCCTTGCCAACCTGGTCACCCTAACTTCCCTCCCCTGCTGGCCTGGTCCCCTGCAACTGCCCTTCCCTTCAGGCCTGGTCACCCCAAATTGCCCTCCTTTGTCAGCCTGGTCACCCCTAACTGCCCTCCCCTGCAGGCCTGGTTCCTCCCAACTCTCCTCCCCTGCTGGCCATCTTGTGATAGCCATCATCTGTCCACATGGGGGTGGCCATGTTGTGTGTTGGAGTGACTGTTAATTTGCTTATTACCCTTTTATTAGATAGGATTCCTGGAAGTCTGATATGTCCTCGCTAAGCTGTCTGCTTTCCAAACTGAGGCTCACACTACATGGGAGTATCAGGGAAGTGTCCTAGCTGAGTATCATGCAAAGGCAGCAGCAACAGAATCTATAAAGACTGTGGCACATGTGCATGTGCTCCATTCACCTTCTGCAAAAATGACCCCTCAGTGCCGGATTTTGGCCATACTGATGTTTTTTTGTCTTTGTTTTGTTTTTAATATAATTTATTGAGGGTTTTTTTAAAAATGTATTTTTATTGATTTTACACAGAGAGGAATTGAGAGGGACAGAGAGTTAGAAACGTCGATGAGAGAGAAACACCGACCAGCTGCCTCCTGCACCCCCCCCACTGGGGATGTGCCCGCAACCAAGGTACATGCCCTTGACCAGAATCGAACCCGGGACCCTTCAGTCCGCAGGCCGATGCTCTATCCACTGAGCCAAACTGGTTTCAGCCTTATACTGATGTTTTTGTAACATGGTAAAAGTGTGCTCCTGAATGAGAGACATTAAGATCGATAAAAAATGGCTATCCATTAAACAAATAGTCAAGATTATGAAAATCCCAAGACAGACAGTCACATGGTGCACCCATGCTCCCTGGTAAACCGCATGTTGTGTTTTTTTTGCATACTTTCCTCCATCGTAGTGAGTTTAAGAAAAACTACTTGGTCCTGAGAGGCCTCAGATTCCCTTCCTCTGAACCTTTTGAGCTCCTGCCACTTAATATGGGTTATCAATAGGTTCTTGCTGTAGCATGATTTCCTGCCGCAAGCCTTATGGCAAAGAAAATGTGTTTTCTTTCCCCACATGATAGTCATTGGTAGACCAGTGCTGACTGGTATATAATCCTCTGCTGGTCCCTTGTCTCATGCTAATGTCATTATCTATGTAAGTCTTTAATGTTGTTTGATTGAGTTTATTATTAATAGGGTAAAGAAGATTTTCCAGTTCCCCATTCAAGAGATGCTGTGGTTACATTCTAATGCATGGAGAATGGGTATTCTGGAAGCATCCTCAAAGGAGGACAGCCCTTGAGCCCTATTGAAAGGAATATTAGCAAGTACTCCCAAGCATTGCCACTGCTGCAAAACTGGAGGTGTTGAGCCTTGGATACACACCTCACGACTAAAGAAGGGTGCACCTGGCCCTCACTGGTTTGCTCAGTGGTTAGAGCATTGGCCTCATACTGAAGGATCCTGGGTTCAATACTGATCAAAAGTATCAACCTTAGTTACAGGCTGGATCCTGTGCTCCAGTCAAGGTGTATGCAAGAGGCAACCAATGGATGATATGTCTCTCTCACATTGATGTTTCTCTCTGTGTGTCTCTCCTCCTCTCTTCCATTCTCTCTAAAAATCAACAGAAGAAATATTTTCAGGTAAGGATTAATAAAAATCAAACAAACAAACAAACAAACAAAAAGAAGGCTGCACCTGGTATTTAATTCTGTATAAACCCTGGAGACCTTCATAATTGACTAAGAGGAAGAGACTGACGTCAATATAAACAACTTCCACCCAAGAGATCAGACTTCCTACTTAGCTAAATATGAAACCCTTCCTTCTTCCCTCCCTTCTTTCTCTCTTTTTCTCCCTCCCTCCCTCCCTCCCTCCCTCCCTCCCTCCCTCCCTCCCTCCCTCCCTCCCTCCCTTCCTCCCTCCTCCCCTCTCTCCCTCCCTCCCTCCCTCCCTCCCTCTTTCTTTCTTTCTTTCTTTCTTTCTTTCTTTCTTTCTTTCTTTCTTTCTTTCTTTCTTTCTTTCTTTCTTTCTTTCTTTCTTTCTTTCTTTCTTTCTTTCTTTCTTTCTTTCTTTCTTTCTCTCATACTGGCATTGACCCAGAAAGATGATGCCATTATCTGTATCTTCCAGGTCATTGCTAAGAGAGTAACCTCTGTAATTCAGAAGAACTTTTTATTTAAAGTTATAAGAAGACATCACTGACCCCTGGCTTGAATGAGCAATCAGGCCTGAATGGACTTACATTTGTCATCATGATTATCTTTCTCCTTGGGTCTATGCATGCCTAGAGTGCTGGAGCACCACTGGGCAATGCCCCTAACTGTCGAGAAAGGACCTGTCAGGTAGGAAGTTAGACGTGAGTGGCTGAGGCGGAGCCTGTCCTGGGGTCCTGACAGAGGTCAGACCAACATCGCCTTCAGACCACCTCTCTGGACAGCCAGCAGCCAGCAGGCAGGTTGGTTCTAGGCATAAGCTCAGAGGAAAATGACAGGACCTCAATTTGACCTTATCAGGGATCTGGATTAATTATAGTAAATTTTGCATTAAAATATTTAGACAACCCCATTTTCTGCTTTAGGGGAGTTGAGTTCAACCTCTCTCCACTATTGCAATAGCCCTCACCCTATTGCAATTGTCTTGAAATAAAGTCATTTGGCCTATTTAACTTGAAACAGTATAGTTTTCCTCTGATACTTACCATCTGGTTTGAAAGCATCTGATGAATGATAAAGGTTGTTGGGGGAATAATAATGCTGAGCTGCCCCTCGCCAACTTGGTGAAGAACCACTCAGTGCTCCTAATGAAGGACTGCTGTATCTCGGTCTAGTCTTTGAACCAAACGCTGATGAAGATGAACTCCTCTTAATTCTTAGCAAAGCAGCATATGACGTAGGGAGACCAGGAAGAGCTCCAGAATATTCTGTAGAAGAAAAAACAATAATAAAAAATGAATTCTTGTGAAAATTATTTATTCTGAAGACATTGTTGAAAACCTCCCTTGCAGCTGCAACTAAATGCAAATTACAGTGAGAGCGGGGAAAAATAAAATGTTACTTTTATATTTTAAAATATTTTCTGAATATTCTACCTGTGTTAAATTTGAGGTTAGGAAGGAAGGAAGGAAAGAAGGAAGGAAGAAAAGAAGGAAGGAAGAAAAAATGAAGGAAGGAAGGAAGGGAAGAAAAAGAGAAGATATCCAAAATTTGTCTTTACTTTCTTTGTCAGGACAATTTTGGAATTAACCTTTTGTTTGCCTAAATATTAAAATGTCCGTTTAAATACAGTAGATCAATACCTTTTTTATTATTAAAAATTGGGAAAAGAAAAAAAATATCATTGTGCATTATATTCTATAAATACTTACTAGAAAATAAAAACAATATACATATATGATCATCATCTAAAATTTATCATAAAGTAGAAAATGCATCTAACATATCATATATATTTTGAGTAGGCTATAAGTTATGCTCATATTCTTAAAAAGCAGCTGAATTTACTATGCAATACAAAAATTTTGGATGAATTTGCTTTGTAGATTTTGTTGCATAATCTATGTAATTTAGTATTATCAAGTAGGAATACTATCAGGAAATTTCTGCTTTTATTGGTTACTTATAAATGTCATGCTCGTGTTTTATTTTAGTTCCCCAAGCTTTTCATTATAAAAGTTGTGCAAAGTGGGTGTTACTAACACTCCTTTATATCTACAAGGGAGAGTCAGTGTATAGATCAAATATTTACAAATACAAACTAATTGATGACTTTTTTAAAAAAAATATATTTTATTGATTTTTCACAGAGAGGAAGAGAGAGGGATAGAGAGTTAGAAACATCAATGAGAGAGAATCATCGATCAGCTGCCTCTTGCACACCCTCTACTGGGGATGTGCCCGTAACCAAGGTATGTGCCCTTGACCGGAATCAAACCCGGGACCCTTCAGTTCACAAGCTGACGCTCTATCCACTGAGCCAAACAGGTTTCGGCAATTGATGACTTCTTAAAAACAATTTAAAATTAGAATTTTTTCCTAAGTCTAATAACAATTGAATTTTATAATTTATTGATCTTGAAAATACTTTTAGAATCAGTCATTTTTGTTCAAGGTATCTGACATTTGGACTTAATTTTAGATAAAAATAATTTACCTTGTTAGTAGGCTTTCTCATAATTAAAATAATTTAGAGTCATTATACTGCCTCAGAGATATTTTGGAATGCAAGAACCATTTCTGTGATTTGAAAATAACACTTTAGGTGTTAAGCATCAAATTAAGTTTAACATTTTCTGCTCTGTGAAATTGTCAACATGATTTCTTTGAAAGTTGAAAAAGTATATTTTCAGGTGTTCTCCACATTTAATGTAATATGTGCAGCCCATGCCCATCAGGAGCTGTAACGAGAATCATATCCTTTAGTATTTATGTCCAACCATAAGTCTGGTGAAGGTGGATCAATTTTAACTGAAAATAGCTAACCTCTCCTGGGCAAAGTCTATGAGAACAGATTATGGGTAGACATAAAGTCTTCTTTAAAAGCTGGAATTAAATGCAAGTTTTGGCACCTAGAGGTATAAGGTAATGAAAAGAGAATGAGTTTTCCTTTAAAGGTAGTTTGTAGTTTTAGTCTCAGAACCTATTCATTTCTCAGTGCACTCTGTTGCCTTGTGTTTTAACTGCCCATACACGAAAATAAAAATAAAAAAGTTAAAAAAAGAATTATACCATGCTAGTATTAACAATTGGAATGGAGTGTGAGAATGTGATTTATAGTTCTTAAAGGTAGATAAGATAAATTAGTGGAAAGCTAGAAGGGCCATAATGAGGTTCAAATAAGCCAGGATCAGAATTTAGTGACACATCATATCTGTCTGTCTGTCTGTCTGTCTATCTATCTTTCTATTCAGAGTGTGCCTGTGTGCTCCACACCAGGACTTCATTTGTTGTGTAATCAGTTGCACCTGTTGCAGTGGATACTCCTCTTTCATCAATTAAAGTGAACTCTAAAGCTGTTACTAGAAATAGACAATGTATGCATCCATTTATGTATTCCACAAACTTGCAATGAGAACTCAGTCTGGGCTACATTCTAGAGATAAGAGAAGATGTTGCATCAATCCTCAAGGAACTCATGGTCTCGCGGAGAAGAAAGGCAACCATGCTTGCAACTTTAATCCAAGGTGAAATAGCAGCAAATTCAGGGACCTATGGGCTCCCTCCCCAGGGTGAGGCATCTTCTTATCCAGCCAATGATTAACAGAAAATACTTCCTGATGAAACTGGTTTGGCTCAGTGGACAGAGCATTGGCCTGAAAGGTCGATTCTGGTCAAGGGCGTGCACCTTGGTTGCGGGCACATTCCCAATAGGGGATGTGCAGGAGGCAGCTGATCAATGTCTCTCTCTCATGGATGTTTCTAACTCTCTATCTCCCTCCCTTTCTCTCTGTAAAAAATCAATAAATATATTTTTAAAAAGAAAAAAAAGAAATAAAATACTTCCTAAATGAAAATCTGTCTAAATTCAGTCCTGAAAGCATGTTCATGATTAGTTCAGCAAAGCTCTGAGGGGCAAGAAAAGACATGAAGACTTGTACAGGAAAGGCAGCATGACATGCTTGGAAGGTTAAGTAGTCAGAAGTTCGGAGCCTGAGGGAGAGGAGGAGTGGAGAGGGGAGGTTGGACAGGTAAGCAAGGGGGCCATGATGAAATGCCTAATTCATCTGGTACAATGGTATGACTTTGAAAAGACAGCAATAGGTTTTAGAAAGATCACTCTGGCTGCAGTGCCCTTTGGAATAAAACAAAAAGAAAAATGATTACTCAAGAGCCTAAAGCTATAATAGAGGTAATGATTAGCCAGGAATGAGGAGTTGATAATCTATATGGGAATAAAATTAATAAGATTACTCATTGATTAGATTGCAGGTAAGGACAGGCAAGTAAATAACTGAGGATGATGTGTGCTTCGGAAAGATGAATAAGAATGTAGGAGAAGGCACTGGCTTGAAGTGAAATCTCATTAATTCAGTTTTGGGCAGGTGGAAAGTTGGAGGTGCATCTAAGGCAGTTATGTTAATTATAAGATTCTGTAAACATAAGGGAAATGCAGGCTCCTGAGATTATTAAATAATAATCAATTAGGTAGTTATTAAAACTCTTAGAGCTGACGAGCTTGCCAAGGAAATGTGTAAGTTGAGAACTAGATTGTTGAAAATGGAACTCTGAGGAGCACTGGCATTTAAGAGGAAAGCAGAGGTAGTAGAATCTGGGAAGGAAAGAGGGAAAGCTGGAATGGGGAATGTCTCTGAAGGGGAGGAGAGAGAGTCCAAGCAGAGGAGAGAGCAGCGGACAGCATGGAGGATCAGTGCAGAGACTTGCCCTGCAGACTGGGGTGCCCGGCAGTGTCAAGCTATCTGAGAACTTGCTCTACACACAAGGTGTGTACATGGGAACGTGAGTCAGAGCCAGGAGGTGAAAAGGATTTTCTTTTTTCTTTTCTTTTTTTAAAATATATATTTATTGATTTCAGAGAGGAAGGGAGAGGGAAAGAAAAATAGAAATATCAATGATGAGAGAGAATCAATGATTGGCTGCCTCTTCCATGTTCCCTACTGGGGATCAAGCCCACAACCTAGGTATGTGCCCTTGACCAGAATCGAACCTGGGACCCTTCAGTCCACAGGCTAATGCTCTATCCACTGAACTAACTAGCTAGGAAAAAAGGATTTTCCAAGCCGGGAAGACAGTCTGGAACCCTAAACTGCCAACTTCAGAGCATTAGACATACAGACCCGGGCCTTAGCCCACTGCCTCCCTCAGTCTCCTGGCCTGAATACAATGACTATCAACTCAGTGAGGTCTCCCTCTCACAATTATTTTTTTTAAGTTATTTCATTTTATTTTTTATTGATTTTTAGAGAGGGTTGAAGGAAGAGAGAGAAACATCAATTTGAGAGAGAAAAATTTATCAGCTGCCACCCATTCTCACCTCAATTGGGATCAAACCTGAAACCTAGGTATGTGCCCTGACCTGGAATTGAACTCACAACCTCCTGGTGCGTGGGACAAAGTTCCAATCAACTGAGCCACTGGACCAGGGCTGATTCCTCCTAGCTGCCAGCCCCTTTTTCTGACATCTTCAATTTTCCTACTCCTGAATCCCAGTTCTGGGGATCCCCAGCTCTGGAAAATAGATATATTAGCATAAATGAATGGGAAAAATGGTGTTTCAATTATAGGACTTTGTTTTAACCTCAACTTTGAGAGACTGAATTGATGTAACACATACAGGCTCTGTTGAGGGTGAAAAATACAGCATCCTCTTCCAAGTTTAAATGCCAGCATTTGCATTTTTGTCCTTATTTTATTTCATCTTCTCCTCTCCAGGATCTCAACCCTTCAAGAACCCATTCACTGTCCTGCACCCTCATCTTTCCTCAATCCCCTGCCTATCCTTACTCTCTTCAATGTACCTTCAGCCACACTGTCCTTGCCTTTATTTTTCTTCCCCTCAGGCTAAATCTCCTGTCTAGGTTAAATCCAACTATTGACACATCGTTCCTGGAGAAGAACATGAAGTCATGGTTAAAGGTCTCAATCCATGATATTCACCACTAGTGAGATTTCTAAACTTCCTGGTAATGCTATCACATTTCCCTAGTTTCTTTACTATCCCTCCCTACTAGATACATCTTATCTTCTGTCCTCAAGCACCACAGGTCTTGGGTTTCCTATTTCATTGAGAAAACAGAAGCAATCTGAAGAGAGGGTCCCTCACTAGCTCCCACCACTTGTATACACACCCATATATTCTGCCTTGCTTTCACTGATATGCTGTAAATCACTATGCATCTGTAAAAGGTCACATCCCCCACTTGAGTGCATTGAATCCCATTCCATCCCATCTTGACTGCACAAAGAT